TGGCGAACCTCCCGGGATCGTCGGCCCCACGCCCCCAGCGCGGGGTAAGTCAGGTCACCGTTCCGCCTTCCAGGCTCATTGGCCGGCAGCCGTCAGCTGGGACAGCAGGACCAGCCAGCCGATGTCCGACGGAGCCGCCGCCGGGACAAACGGCCACTGCAGAACTACGTCCGGCATCAATTAGGCTAATGCACAAGTTGTGAGGCTTCCGCGCCGCCCGCTCCAATGCCGTTAAGTGCAGATTTCGAGAGTCCCAACACAGTCCAAGTGTCCGACAACGAGCATAGTAACTGCAGAGCAGATCATTCGCCGCGCGCAATGCTTTAGCGCCTTTGTCCACTTAACCGCACGGAGCCCGTGTCATGCAATCAAATCGAGCAAGTTCAATATCCTACCCACAAATCATGTTCGCATACATTCTGAGAACGTTCACACACGACACGCCATTACCGCGGTAACGCGGCCGTTTCGCGTGCACGCCTAGTGTCAAACCTGGGCTGCTGGTGCGGCAGTCGCCCCGACCGCCGCCCGCCATCGGAAGACGCCGTCCGGCCGCTGCCCGTCTCAGCGACGGCCATTGGAAACGAGTCCGTCCCGCCCGCAAACCGCGGCGAGACGACCGCCCCGAGATGCGGAGCGACGGCCCGCCGCCAGCCGGGCCGACCGCCCGAGACACGGAGCGACGGCCGCCGCCAGCCGGGCGACCGCCCACGAGACACGGAGCGACGGCGTCGCCAGCCGGGCCGAACCGCCCCGAGATACGGAGCGACGGCCGCCACCAAGCCGGGCCGACCGCCCCGAGACACGGAGCGACGGCGCCGCCAGCCGGTCCGACCGCCCCGAGACACGGAGCGACGGCCGCCGCCAGCCGGTCCGACCGCCCCGAGACACGGAGCGACGGCCGCCGCCAGCGGGCCGACCGCCCCGAGACACGGAGCGGCGGGCCGTCGCCAGCCGGGCCGACCCAGGCGCCGGCCCAGCGGGTCAGTCTGGCGGGTCAGCCGGTGGGTCGGCCCGTGGGTCGGCCGGTGGGTCGACCGGTGAGTCGCCTGCAGGGCCGGCCGGTGAGTCGTCTGCAGAGCCGGCCCGGTGGGTCGGCCGGTGGGTCGGCTGCAGGGCCGGCCGGTGAGTTCCGGCATCGATCGGCAGCATCCCCGGCCGGCCGTCAGGCAGCGGCCGAGACACGACTCCCGCATGTCTGGCCGATTTGTCCTGATCGGCAAGCGGCGCGGTGGCCGGCTCCTAGGCCGCCACCAGTCGCCACCGGCCCGCCGCCGGCCGCCACCGGCCGCCGCCGGGTGACATCGACGTGCATCCGCGCACCGGTCACGTGACGGTGACCTGATGTCTTCTGACACCCGGGGGACAGACGTCACGTCGACCAGAGGGAGACGTCAGGTCGAACGATGAAGTTCAGGTCATTTGATGATGAGGTTACGATGACAGAAAGGACATACCAGGCCGAACGATGACTCAACTACGGGGTTGCAAACACCAGCAGCATGGGTCCGGTCAAACTAAGGAAAATGGTAACAACCTTAGCCCACAGAGAGCACATTTGTATAGATTAAGATCCGACATCAGTTGAGAGGCTGCGTTCCGGCCAACAGCTGAGGATCTCCGGGCCGGGTCAGCGGTGCTGAGCAGTCCCCGTCGCGGGGGAGCGCGTTGGCACCAGCGGGTCACGTGCCCGCCACACCAGCCGGTCCTCGACAGCCGGGTGAAATTCCGGTCTCCTTCCGGCCCACCGGAGGGGAACCGGCCGCAGCCGCCGGTAATGCATCAAGCATTTACATGTTATTGGATTTTTTGTCGCCCAGTTTGACGAGGTAGCTCCGGCCGAGCCAAGCCGAACCCAGCGATTTGAGCGTTCCGGTGAGGCGCCGCCGCCCGACGAGACACGAGGGATACGCCGGGACTGCGGCCGCCAGTGGCCGGTGTACTGCTCCAGAGCGCCGGGACTGCGCCGCCAGTGACTGGTGACTGCTCCAGAGCGCCGGGGACTGCAGCCGCCAGTGGCCGGTGTACTGCTCCAGAGCGCCGGACTGCGGCCGCCAGTGACTGGTGTACTGCTCCAGAGCGCCGGGGACTGCAGCCGCCAGTGGCCGGTGTAACATGCTCCAGAGCGCCGGGACTGCGGCCGCCAGTGGCCGATGCACTGCTCCAGAGCGCCGGGACTGCAGGGCCGCCAGTGGCCGGTGCACTGCTCCAGAGCGCTGCGACTGCGGCGCACGAAAGCTGAAGTGTCGTCATTGACTCGTCTACGAGAGGCGGTGCATTGCGGAGCTGGTTCGCGATTCCTCTCCGCCGCCCAGCGCTCGCAGCATTGTGAATGGCACAGGACTAACAGGTCACCGAGGCGCTCAGCAGCGCACCAGCGATCGAGGCCGGCGGTCGTATCTCCAGCGAACGACGTCGGCGCCGTCCGCACACGGCGCCCCGCCGGGCCCTCTGGCCGACTGCGGCGCGTTCGCGCCGCCCATCCGGCCTCAGAGGCCCAGCGCCACGCACTCGGGCCGCCTCATCACTATTCACCACGTCTGGAACGAGCGCCAACGCTCTCTGGCACGTGTTGCGTCGCCGCGGCGGCCATCAGCGCGGCGGCGACGTCCGGCCTGCGATGTCGACAGCCGGCCGGCGCAAACCAATCCTGTCGGCGGCGACGGTCGCCGGCGCCAACGGGATCGGTATGGAGAGGCTGGCAGCGCCGCGTCTTCACCTGGCCGCCGCGGCGCTCCGGTCATTCGGCCGACTGAAAACGTGCCGGCGGCGATGTCGGCCGACGAGGGTCCTCTAGGCGTCAACCACGGCCGGCGGCCGACGCGCCGGTAATAAGAGCAGCCGGGGCGACGGCGACAAAACATACTCGAGAAAAACGAGCCGCCCGGCCAAACAGCCGACTATTGTGAGGCCAGCGACGTTCGGTGGCGCGGCGGCCGCAAAACGGACGCGGCGACGTTGAGACGGTGCGCCAGGTCGGCGGCGCTGACGTAACGGAGGCGCACTCTCCACGGCCTGATCAGGCCAGAGCCCGGGAGGCCGCGGAAGCCCAACACTAAGCGGCTTAGTCCATCGGCTGCGCAATTTTGATGAATGAACTGATTTATTGATCCCACGCGGGTACACAGACGTCGGAGGACACCCAAGCACGCCGGCCAGCGGGACCGAGAGGCCCGCCGCCATCGTCCCGATCAAGTCTCCCGGTGCTCGCCAGGGGACGTCTCCGAAGCCGCGCCGGCCGCCTGTCCCCACCCCCGCGCCAGGACAACAGCCGCCGGCGGCCGCGGCAAGGTCGCCGGCTCGGACGCGCCGATAATGGCTGAATTAGTGAGACGGCCGGACGCCAGGTCGACGCCCGCGGTCCACTAATGGAGGGGGCGTGGCCGCCAGGAGGTCGCCGGTACACCGCCGGTGGACTCGGCGGCGGCGGCGGCGGCGGCGAACCGCTAACGCGTCGGGAAATGGCGCCGCTTCCGGCCGCCAGGCTCTCCGCTCCAAATGATAGGTGAAGCTTCGACGCGGCCGACCGGATGGCCGATACGTCATTTTCGTATGAGATGCGCCGTGGCCTTGTTTATACCGCACCCTGCGAAACAAACGCGCGTGGGGGCCTATTCGGAACACTTGACGTAGAAGACGGCCACTTTGGATGGATGCATTCGGAGAGCTTTGCGATGTAAAAAGCGTCAGTCAGCAGCGTCTTCTACAAGGATGGCGACTTAAGAACGACCACTTGAAAGATGCCCTGATAAGTAGACGTCAGAGCAGCAGGCGATACAAAACTGATATTGGCTGACAGTTCCGAAAATCGCAGTGCCCAAACTAAAAATCCATGCAGAGAACTCTGGGCGAGCCTGCCGCCACGCACGACCGCGCATTCTCGTTTCCAGGTAACGAGCGTGGCGGAGACGAACCGCTGCCAACTTCCGACCGGCTGGCGAAGTTTGTAAAACACAAGTTCTGCGGCCAGACGGCGCGCCCGCCTCGCGGAGCAGAACAGCATCGCAACGGATGTGTCTGAACGGGTCGAGGTGGGACGGTGTTCCAGGCCACGACACACGATGTTCAGATGCAAGAGTATAGATGACCGGTGTGAGCTTCCTATGAACGCTGTGGTAGCAAGGACTGTCAGAATCTCATATCATTTAACAGAATCATGCAGCATGCGCTAAATCCCAACCCAGTGTCGATATATGGACAACGTGAGCTCTGTGAGAAGGGAAATGACAAATATGCGAACGATGCGCCTCTGTATACATGCAACTGGCAAGAAACGGCACAATGGTACAGAGACAGCTGGGTCATTGCCACAATGGCCGCAGAGAAACACAATGACAGTAAATGGACAATGGCCTGGAATTAATCTGCAGACAAAACAAGCAACTTCTCACAATGCGGCACCGCCGTGGACAAAACTCGGAAAGAAAAAAAAGATAATTACGTTCACTAGCACAAAGAAGAACACGACGCCGGCGTCGACGCGTTCGGGTCACACAAGACGCGCCGGCACGCACGACCACCGTCGTACAACTCACTTGTTCTCCAGCGAGCACCAGCCGCAGTAGGGGTCCCTGGCGCCCAGGCATTCGCCGCACGAGGCGTACAGGTGGCACTCCTGCACCTTCACCTTGGACACCTGCCGGAGGAGCAGCACCCAGTCACACAACCACCGACCGCACGCTCCCCTCCCGGCACAGCGTGCGCGGGCCGCACCTGTCCCCCCCCCCCCCCCCCCATCTCGGGGCCGGCGGACCGGCTGCCGGGCGGCTACCGCCGTCCCGGGAGCAGCAGCTCTCCGGCGACTCCGGCGGCGGCCCCCGCCCCTCCCATCACCACACCCACGCGCCACACCAGGTCACGCACCGGATCCTGGCTTACTGCAGTCACGCCAGACACGCCAACAGCGCGTCGATCAAGGACCGCATTGGGAGAACGGATCGCCGTCTCCTGCACGCATCGCGCGCCGTTATGACGTCATATAATTCACGACATAACTTTCCGACGGGGGAAATGATCGGTGCCATCGACCGGCCGCGATGGTGGATGGCACCTGTCAAAAGGCGCGGGGAGGGTGGTACATTCGGCCGGCGGCGGTGATTTTCCGAGAGCCACGCACATTCCGCTTCACCCGGTCCGATTCAATTCCGGCGATGGCATCGTCGGAAGACCGCGCAAGGCGACCACCTCAAATGATATCGCTCGGCGGGAATGAGCAGCTCATCAGAGTTGGGATCAAATCGAGGGCTGCCGACATCCCCGGACGCTCCTGAGAGGACGAACAGCAGACCAACTGTCTCTCGCACTCATTTCCGAGAACTTGACAGGTCCGGTTCGCCCTCCGCAAATCACGACAGAAAACAAGGGTGAAGCGAGCAAAGACGCATCCCTTCGGAGTCATTTGAGCAAGAAGCACTCCGAGCATGGTGGCAGAAACCAGAGCAGCTCCGAGCATGGTGGCAGCTCAGTGGGTCAGCGATCCTGACAGTGATCCTGATCCTACTGATCCTACCGAACCGCGGCAGCGACCGATCCTCTACGCCGGCTATCTTAGTAGCACAGCCCTTCTTTCGCGCCACCATCCCGCCGAACAAGGAGCATAATACCCTCTCCCAGCCTTCATCAGCAGAGCGCCATCGAACGAGGCGCTCATTGACATCGCTCTCCCTTCATTACCGGGAGCGATACCTCCACTCGAGTGAGCTCGAGTGAGCCAGTCACTCCGGCGGACGGCCGGCGCGATTCGCCGCTGCTGGCGTTACCGCTCTCGTCCGGAGCTGTTTCGCTTCCGACCATCTCCGGCGGACAGCCGGCGCGGTCCGCCGCTGCTGGCGCCGCCGCTCTAGTCCGGAGCTGCTTCGCTTCCGACCATCTCCGGCGGACGGCCGGCGCGGTCCGCCGCTGCTGGCGCCGCCGCTCTCGTCCGGAGCTGCTTCGCTTCCGACCATCTCCGGCGGACGGCCGGCGCGGTCCGCCGCTGCTGGCGCTGCCGCTCTCGTCCGGAGCTGCTTCGCTTCCGACCATCTCCGGCGGACAGCCGGCTCTCCTCTCCCCTCCGGGCATAAATCAGGTCGGCTGCCGCCTAAATCAGCGGCGCCGCGCACTCGGACGGGTTTGCTTTATTCGGGCCGTTGTCGGACCGTTGTCGGGCCGTTGTCGGCCTGCGCTCCGCCCCGGCACGCGCCCGTCGGGCCACCGGCAACATGAGAGCATAATAAATGCCCGGCCGGCCGCCGTCGCCAGCTACGAGCGCCCTCGCCGGCCGGCATCGAAGCAGACCGCCGCCTTGACGAGACACAATCAGGAATATGGAGAACAGAGCGCGGCACGATGAATTCAGATATGGAGATGCGCCGGTCGCCGCATAATCACGCCTCTCGCCGCGACGCCCAAATTACATAGCCGTCCGAAACGGCCGTCTCAGCAGTGCGCCGCCCGCTCTGCGTCCCGGTGCCGTCCGCCCGGCGTCCGCGGCCTGCCGCCCACTCGCCCTGTCTCCCTGGCCGGGAGCCGCCATGTGCCACGGTTCCACGGAAGCGTGCAGGCTAGCTGACTGACACCTGGGCGGCGGTGGGGCGAGCTGGCGCTCCCTACAGCGATACCCAGCCGCCCGGAGCCGTGACGCGCGGCTCGGCGGCGGCTCCAACAGCCGGCCACCACCGGCCAGGGATCGGAGGGCGCGCCCCGCCGGAGGCGCCAGGTCTCGGCCGCCGCCAGCCCGGTGCCGTGTTGTTCCGTGGCCTGCGCGCTGATCGATCGCCGGCCGTGAATGAGAAACGCGCCAGCACGGCGCCCGGGACAGGCCCGTATGAGCGACGCAGCCGCCGGCCGCTGGAGAGGCGGGAGAGGAGCAGCGCCGACACGGGCCCATGGACGCGGCGCCCCTGACGGCGCGGCCGCGGTGTCGTCCGACTGCTCTGGTGTCGCATCCGGCCACAGGTCGACACCCGCTTCGACGGCTCCGAGTCGTCGTGGCGTCACGGACGACCGGTCGCCGGTTTGCCCCTGTCGTTTCAGCGCGGCGCCGACTCGTTAGCGGCTTGTCAGCCGGCTGCTCGTGTCCCCGGGATTACGAAGTGCGGCCGGCGGCGCACGAAAACCGTTACGGCTCGGAGACACCGCCGGCGCACGGGCCATTGCAGGCTTTACGTCCCGTTTTTACCATTGGGAGATACGGCTGCCGGCCAAAGACCCAACCCCAGTTCATATGGGCTGAAAGACGCCGTCCGAGCCGTCTCAGCACGCCGTGCATATATTGGAGCCACCGCAGACCAGAATGGACAGAGGACTGCTGGTCGCAGTGCTCCAGACTTCGGCAGCTCCATATTTGCGGACAGACCGTCTCTAAATCCCGCCGCCAGCCGGCCGAGCACCGCCACAATTTTGACCGAGCTTTACGGCCGCCATCATGTTCAGAACACCACGGGAAATGGTCATCCAATGATACGAAACCATGAGCGGCGCCACGGCCCGTTTCGGCGGCCGTACTCGGGTCACGTCCATTTGAGTGACGTCATAGCGGCGGTGACCTCGCCGCTTCAAATAGCGACAATTAGCGCCGCCGGGTGGCTTCAGCGCGCCCGGCGGCGGCTCTCCGGCCGCCCCATCCGAAACTGTCCACCGACCAGGTCGTCGATCTCGATTACGGCGCCTAATTACCGGGAGTGGGCCGACGAGCGGCCGTGGGTGGACGGGCCGAGAGCGCCGCACCGCCCGATGCCAGGTCGCGGCGTGGCATTGCTCCACGCTGGCCGGCTGGCGGCGCGCGCGTCCACATCTCGCCCTGACGCGGCGGCGCGCCCCCTTCGACCGGCACGGCAGGAGACCAGCAAAAAAAAAAACGCGCCGCAAAAACGGCCATTCCCACGCAAATTGGCCCCGCTAAGTACGACGTGAGCAGACGAGGGCGAGGGGAGAGAACCGGAGCAGCACGGAGCTCCGATGAAGGCCGGGCCGACGTGTGGGTCCCAGGCGGGTGATACTCCGAGGGCAGACCTCGTCCCATTGTAGCTCGGCCAGTGGGACGAGGTCTCCCCTCGGGGTATCACCCGCCGCTGCTGCACTGGCGGGGCGAACACACGTGGCTGTGACCATACGTGGCCGATATGACATCATCGGGCAATCGGACTTTATCTGTTAGGGCCCGCCTACAGCGGACGCCGACAGGACGCTTGCCACGCACGGCAGGGAGGACGTAGCCGTGACACTACCTCCGGTGAGAGATGCACCTCACCAGAGTCGGCCACCGACGGGCAGACGGAGCAGACACAGCGGACATGTCCCGGTCGCATGGCCCGCACCGTTGCCGCGACGCTGACTGGGTGTCGTCAGCGCTGTCCGCTGTCCGCCGGCCCTGTCCGCTATCCTCCGGCGCTGTCCGCTGTCCTCCGGCGCTGTCAGATGTCCGTCAGTTGTCGTCACGTACGCCGGTCACGACGCGGCGTCATCCATTCGCCGAATAAATCCCAGAGGTAACAGACAGACATACGCGATGATACGGATGGTATCTCGGAATTCGATACCGGACGCAAACATCGCAGGGCAGTCAAGTGCGGGATCGAGGACGGCTGGCTGCAATCATCGACGCCGCAGCCGCGCCGCCTAGCGTCTGCCGAACGGCGCTGTCCATGGCCACGGGCAAGAAGGTGGGTCCACCGGTGCCACCACAAACGCCCGAAGCCCACGCGGCCCAGCTGCACGGGATCACATAGTGCAGCAGGTCAGTTTGTTTTCTTTGTGTCGTGACCGACGATGTCGGCGCGCTTCGCCAGGCATGTAGCTGATTTGTTTTCAAGTGGCTGTGTCGTCGGCGTTAGCCGTTTTTTTAGCGCATGTCAACTGCATGACATCAGCATAGCGGCGGGTCACGAGGCCAGCCTGGCAGGCAAGCAGCAGGGCCCAAGCTGAGCAAGCTGCACATGGCGCACGGCGCTGACTGCCAGCCCACGGGCCCTGGCTCTGCTGAGTGAGCACTCATCCCAGCTGAGCGCTTCCCACGTGCACGTTTACCTGGGGAACACCAACCGCAAACACACCCTACAGGCGTTACGTTTGAGGCCAGGCTTATTCGTGCTTCGAAATGGCGTCCACTTCACGTAGTCCAGAAAAGCAGGCAGGCAGAAACATCTGGCATAAGGACACTCACTTTCCTGAATGGCGGAGTAATCCGTCAGACCATCATTTCCACAAACAGCAAAACGCGATACGCTCCCGGCCTCTGTTCCCCTCCCCAGAAAGCACACCTTGAACCGCCCCTGCGCGCCGTCGCCGACGGAGCGACGCCCGGGCGGCGGTGCCCCACTCGTCTACAACACGTACCGGCTATCGAGCACCCCCCAAGTGCACAAAGCACGACTCGACCCCGGCCGTCTCAGAGGCGTCAACACACGCGTCGGCCGGAGCGACGTCGGCGGCGAGGCCTCACCCAGGTGGAAGGAGACAAGGCCGGCGCGGCGCCTCCTCCTCCTCCGCTGCACCCAACAGCACCCGTCGTGTTTGCGCCGGGTCTTCCGCTTCCCCCGATCGGCCCTTGACAGGATTAATTGCGGGCGAGGCGTCAACTAAATGAGCTTTGCAAGAAATACGACCGACGGATAATTAATCGATAGGCCGAACGGCGGCGCCGACGGTCCTGAGGCC